TTAAGTCCTCAGTGAGGACCTGTCCAAATAGGTGCAGGACTATCTGAGTTAGCTGTTACTGAAAGCCATGCTTTTAGGAACTGGCAGGGAGGGCTTTCTAAGCTTAATGCTATTGGATAGACTTTTAAGGCCTGGCTGGGTGTGTGAGGCCCAGACCTATCCAGGGGGTGCTGGAAGAGAATTGCAAGAGATGCAAATCTCCTTTAAGGGAGGCACCCTGTTGACTTGCATTACATGGCTGGACTAGGAGGAGAGCTGAATAGGAGGCCTATAGAAATAGGCAACTTGCGTTTCACTGACCCTACGCCATCCCCTCAATAGCAGTGGCTGGAGCTGGAAGCTGGACAGAGGCTGGGCAGAGCCAAAGGCTTTTTAACTCAGGGCCACAAGGTCTGTGGTTCTGAACCAGGAGTCCTTCGACACCCAGGGAAGTTCCGTGTCCAGTGGCCTTGCTCTTGGCAGAGCTGACAGAAGGCAGTTGTTGTCATGATAGCTGCTTGCTCAATGCCCTGGCTCTTTATATCAGCAAGTTTGGGGTGCATTGGCCTTGCTGGGTCTCCTTGACAGCAGATCACTGTGTAAAGCAGCCATTGATTGGCCTGCTGCCTATCCTCTGCTGCTAGCTTGCTCCTCGTTCTCCTGGTCTCTAATAAAGTAGACCAAGGAGTCAGCCTCTATGATGCCAGTCAAGGGGGTACTCAACCCAACCCTGATTTCTGAAGTTTCTTCTAATATCAGGGGGGGCTTGAGTTAGGAACCTATCCCCTAATATGGCATTTCCTACAGCAGAGTCAGGATCTAAATCAATATACTTATCAAGACCCTTTTTGAGCCTTTCTAGAAAGGCAGCTGGATTTTCCTGTAGTATTATTTTTAATTTTAAATTTTTAACAGGTTCAGTGTGGAATGTGGCTATTTTAAAATTTACTGTAATTGTATGAAATAGAAATCTTCTAATTTTCATTTATATCTCCCTCAAATATTCCTGCTGAACTGTGGTCATTTGACCTCTTATTTGTTGAACTTTATATCTACTGGCTCAATAAGCCTTTGACTATAATGTAAATTAAAAATATTCTACCTCAAAAATAAAATTATACAGGGGCCAGCACTGTGGAATAGCAGGTAAAGCTGCTGCCTGCAGTGCCAGCATCCCATATGGGCAGTGGTTCGGGTCCTGGCAGCTCCATTTCCTGTCCAGCTTTCTGCTATGGTTGGGGAAGGCAGTGGAGGGTGGCCCAAACCCTTGGGCCCCTGCACCCGTGTGTAAGACCCAGAGGAGGCTGCTGGCTCCTGGCTTTGGATCAGTGCAGCTCTGGCTGCTGCAGCCAATTGGGGAGTGTGCCAGCAGATGGAAGACCTCTCTCTCTCTCTGCCTCTCCTTCTCTCTCTGTGTAACGCTGACTTTCAAGGAAAATAAATAAATCTTATATATATATATATATATATAATAAATTAAAACACATAAGTTTAAAAATTCTGAAATCCATGCATAGTTTTTTCATAACATGAATTTTCCATAAACTTTGAATACTCTTTATGTGTGTCTATAAGTATCTGAGTGTGCGTGACTGTGTATGTGGGTAGGGGTGCACACACATACATGTCTTCTTCTATGTGTAAAAGTTAGATCTGTTTGTGTTGGGACTTGGGACTGTCACCATCTAGGCCCTACTTCCTGACTCGGAAATGAGGGCTCTCTCAATACTGATGTGGGATCAAAATGTCCACTTGTTTGTAGAATAAAAAAAACAAGAATTAATTTAAACACATGCTTGGTATTTCCTAACTAATTAAAAAACAACCAAGGCAGTACTGAAACTTTAGCTACACACTCAAGGTAGAAGACCATGATAACAATTCAGTGCTCTTGGGGGGGGGGCAAAAAATATGGACAGATCTGACAGTTAATGTGATTGTAAAATCTGCCTGTTGGATCATATGACCCTGCCTGTAAAGCCATGCTTTATTTGTAATTAATTCAGAAGGTTCTGTCTTTGTTTGAATGTGCATTCCTGTCACATTGGGACAGGGAGAGAGGTTGAATATACATGAATTTTGCTAGAAATTTCTAAGTGATTTGGACTTGCAGATCAATTCACATTTAGTTTTATGCATCATTCCTGGTGGTAAAAACTGTTGTGTTCTTCCTCTCATTTGAATCTCTTGGAAAATCCTTCTACAGTGTATTGTGGCTTTGTTTCACTGCCATTGATTAAAACACAGTGCAGCTCAGGAGTCTGGAGTTTGGAAAAAGAGCACATCTCGTGCTAGAAAACTTCTCAAGGAGCAGAGAACGCAGTGAGACAGGCGTGCTTCAGGGACAGTCCCTCCTGTGTCAGGCCTCAGCATTTCCTTCTCCCTGAATGTGAGCTTCTGGCTGCCTCCAGAGATCAGGTGAAAGGAAAAGTCTCTCCCAGACAGTTCCATGAGCCCTTGGAGAGTACAGCTACACCCTTGAATGGGTTTGGTAATTACCAACTGAAAAAAGCTTTTCACAAACACCCTGGCTTCCCCCAGCCTGAGCAGGTGAAGTGATAATTGCTGTTCCCAGGGGAGGTGAAGTCACACTTCACAAATCCATATCCCAGGATCTGAGTGAGCCCTCCTCACACAAGCACTGGCTGTTTGGGCAGTGAATGGAGCCCTCAGTCCTTGCAGCCATAAGGAGTCATGGGACTGGGTCTGTTGAATCTAAGAGGTGGAATCTCAACAAGAAGTGAGCACCTCAGACGCCAGGTACGTGATCTCTGAAGAAGGTGGTCTTTGTGGGTCTGAAGCTGACCGCATGCCAAACCCACACAGCTGAGGAACAATTCCCAAGGAGTGAGCAGAGGTAAAAAGACAGGGTCCTATGCCTAATAGTACATAGTGCACACCACAGCCATGATTAGGGATTGTGGTTCTGAAATGAACCTGCTGCTCACCCCATGCAGGAGTCAGATTAAGTCTTCCATAGGCACAGGTAGGCTCATTGCACTTCCGTGTTTCTAATAGGCTGGGTACAGCCCAGGAATCATTGAGTGTTGATATGAAGACCTGAACAGCAGCTGCTGAAATAGAAATGCTACCTCCAACTCTGGTTACAGGACACTTAATTGGACAGTCCTTCCTCCTGGAATATCCATGTCTGCTGACACAACAGGGACTGTTATCCATCCTCCCTGTCAAGAAGCACCTTGGCTGGCAGGTGTTCAGCCATGTGGTTAAGATGCCCGCATCCCACATCAGAGTCCCTGCTCCTGTTCTTGTCTGCCCTCCAGTGCAGCTCTGGGGCGATAGCAGGCAATGGTTTAAGTGTTTGGGTCACAGCCACCCACAGAAGAGACCTGGATCTGGATCGAGTTCCCAGCTCCTGGCTTCACTCTGGTCTAGTCCCCAGCCATTGCCAGCATTTGGAGAGTGATCCAGTTAAGGGGGGGTCTCACCCTCCCTTTCTCCCCCCCCCCAGTAATATGACAAAGTCAGACGCAGCAATAATGTGACAAAGGAGTGTGGGGAAAATTATGTCACTAGTCTCAAGTTGTAATTTATTATTACATAATTTAAGCAAAATATGAGCAATCAGTTGTGATTTTTGAAAATCTTTGAAACACAGAATACATATAGAATGGAGCCTCAAAAATGTGTTGTATTTGAATTTTATGAAATAAATGATCTTAGGATTAAGATGAGATTATTTTTTCACTGAGAAAACATAGTAATAGATAAATTTATGCCATCTGATGTTAAATTCTTATAACATTACCTTCCTTTTTAATTTTTTATCTTTGAAAATCTATTTGAGGGGGGCAGAAGGAGAGGGACAGAGGGAGGGAGGGAGAGAAAGAGAGAGAGAGATTTTTGCAGCTGCTGGTTCACTCCTCAATGCCTGCAACAGCCAAGAAACCTGGGTCATGCTGAAACCAGGAGCCAGGATCCTCTTCCAGGTCTCCCACCATGGTGGCAGGGACCTAAGTACTGAGGCATCTTCTGCTGCCTTTCCAGGTGCATTAACAGAGAGCTGGATTGGAACAGGAGTAGCTGGGGCTCTAACGGCACTCTGCTATGGGATGCCAGGGTCACAAGAGGCAGCTTAACCCACTGTGCCACAATACCAGTCCCTAATTGTGTATTCTTTCTTTCCAATCTGTATGGAGCAAATCCTAATAGAATTCTGCTATGTTCAGAACATCTGGATTCTATTCAAAAACTAAAGCCTATATTCATGATGGGTATTGGCCAATGCAATAAATCTTTATAGATAAATGGAAACTTTTACAAAGAAAATTGCAACATTTAATTATAATACCACTAGTGTGAAATAAAATAAAATATTGAAAACAACTATATACACATCAGTGTTATCTGAAAAGCACAGCTAGTAAATTATGTTACATCAGCATATTGTTGAAATGCATTGCCTTATCACCAGGCAGCTGAGCCAGGCCCCTACTTGGCCTGCACAAAGTTTCCAGTGTGTCTGGGGCTGGCTTGGTGGTGCAGTGGGTTAAGCTGCTGACTGCAACGCTGGCATCCCATATTGATCCCATACTGGAATGCCAGTTTGAGTCCCAGCTGCTCTACTGCTGATCCAGCTCCCTGCTACTGTATCTGCTGGCCCAGCCCTGACCATTGCAGCCACCTGGGGAGTGAAACAGTGGGTAGAAGATTGCTCTCTATTTCTCCATGTCTCTCTCTTTCTACCTTCCAAATAAATAAAAATAAATCTGAAAAAAGGACTCAGTGTAAAAAATAAAAAAGCTCAGTAACTGTTAGCTGTCTGTGTGCTCCTTTTCATTCTAATAGAAATCATGATATTTCCTGTCTCATTGAGTTATGAGCAATGTGGGATGTTCAGTCTTTGTGACTTAGATTCAGTTTTGTAAGTGCCATTAATGTTATATATTCAAATTTTGGAACCCTGTGCTTGCAAATACATTAAGGAGGTACATCCAGTGTAAATGAAGAATGTCGGCCTTCCACTGAAGTGTCATACTTGGCTCATGCCTCATATTCTCATGCAGGTCTCCCTTACCCTGAAGTCAAATAGCAGTCACTGGGAACAGAATGGCCATCCAGGATTGGCAGTAGGAATAATCTTCTCATTACAGACTGTAGTCGGAGTTCTGGGGAATGTCTCTCTTCTTCTCCATTATCTCATCCTTTACTTCACAGGATGCAAGTGTAGGTCCACAGATTTGTTTATCAAGCACCTCTCTGTTGCCAATGTGTTGGTCATTCTCTCTAGAGGAGTCCCCCAAACCATGACAGCTTTGGGGATGAAGAATTTCCTAGATGATATCGGGTGCAAGCTTGTATTCTATGTGCACAGAGTGAGCAGAGATGTGTCCATTGGCAGCACCTGCCTCCTGAGTGTCTTCCAGGCCATCACCATCAGTCCTAGACACTCCAGGTGGATGGAGCTTAAAATAAAATCTCCCAAGTATGTTGGCCCCTCCACTATTCTCTGCTGGATCCTGAACATGGCACTAAATGTTGTAGTACCTGTGTATATGACTAGCAACAGGAGTGGCAAAAACCACACCAAAAAAACCAATTATGTCTATTGTTCTACTGGACCTAAGGAGAAAACCGCAAACTCCCTATATGTAGCACTGGTGTTCTTCCGTGATGCTCTCCATTTGGTGCTCATGCTTGGAGCCAGCTGCTCCATGCTTTCCACCCTGTACAGGCACAAGCAGGAAGTCCAGTACATCCACAGGAATAATTTGACCCCCAGTTCCTCTCCTGAGTCCAGAGCTATGCAAAGCATCCTCGTCTTGGTGAGCATTTTTACGTCTTTGTGCACCCTCTCTTTCATCTTTCATGTTTGTTCCACTGTCTTAAGAAATCCCAGTGTGTGGCTCCTGAACACCTCTGCACTAATTGCTGGAAGTTTCCCCACTGTGAGCCCCTACATTCTCATGAGCTATGACGCCAGAATATCCTGGCTCTGCTTTGGTTGGATAAGGGATACAAAATGCTCCAAACTTATTATAGGTATGTAAATTGCATGTATATTCACTGTTTGTCTAGTCACTGCTCTTCCCCATGGATTAAATGCATTTCTGAGACTTGCACATAAAAGTGACTGCTTGTGCTTTACATAACAAACCGAACAATTGCAAATGAAATATTTCATAATCATCTTACTTATAGTCATGTAATAAAAATTTCTTAATATCATCAGTGATGCAGTTTGGAGTGTATGTAGTGTCGGAGCAGTGGATTCTGAAATTGGAGATTATGGCAAGGTCATTGAGCATGTTGACTTTGGACTTGACATGATACATTTTCCACATATTAACTAGTTGTGGAATTGTACAAAATGTTCCATGAAACAGAAACACCACTAGAGACATTTCCTTCAAAAGCAGAAGAAAACCCTGAAAAGACAGTGAAGAGTCTGGAGTTAAATCAGAGGGCACTGTGACGTCTGCCTCTTGTTGTTTGTGATGCGTGTCTCTCTATCAAGTCAAAGCCCTGTGATCTGGGAGCAGCTTCTGGGCTGGCTTTATCTCAGCAGTTTCTTCATCTACTAAATCAGCCTAATCACCAGTTCGGTGGTTCAAGGCCCGTGGGTGCTTCCCCAGTCCTATTGCCACTACCCCCTTGTTAAATAGAACCAGGAGTTCCTGGAGAGGTGGCAGATTCTAGTGCTGAGACTTAAACAATTATATTTTTAATTACTTAAAAAAATCAGAGAGCAAAGCTCATCTCCAGAGAGTAAAGGCATAGAAGTCCCAAGTAGGGGCTTTGTATTTTATCTCCCTAGAAGAATGCTTGTCATTTAATATCTGACTATGTGAGGGGGGTTTATTTAAGACACACTCATGCAGAAATGGTCAGGTTGACTGAAAATGGGATAAAAGGAGAGCACAGAAGTATGCTTTGATGATGATTGAAAGTATCAAGTGAATGTTGAATATGCACAAAATTCATGCAGTCTGAATTTCATGGAGGTGGGATCTGTAGGTTTTTGTTGGGTACAGTTGCCAATTGGGCATTTACAAATTCCACAGATGTCTAAGAACAGACAGAAGTTGGTTTTCTGTGCCTCAGTTTTGGCACTTAACATAATGATGTCACAAATGACAGCATCTCATCCATTTTCATGGCAGAAGAGCACCCCACTGTGTAGATAACCACATTTCCTTTGTCTGTTCATCAGTTGATAGATACTTAAACTGATTACATTTCTTGACTATTGTGAATAGTACTAACATAAGTATGGGAGTGCACATATCTCTTTACCATGTTAATTTCATTTCTTTCGGAATTATAATCTAGTAGTGGCATTTTAAATATGCTTTAATATTAAATTCTATTTTATCTGATATCACCATGCTAAAAGTTTAGTTAGTGAAACTCATTTTTCAATTTTACCCTTACATTATATATATATATATATATATATATATATATATTTGGAAAAGAAAATTTGGAAAAGAAATAAGTTGAATATGATAAAAAGTTTATTTTTGTATGTTGTAATTAAGTTTTTATGGTTAATAAAAAAGTGTTCAGAGCTGGAGCTGTGGCTTACTGGATAAACCTGCAGCTTGTGGTACCAGCATACTATATGGGTGCCAGTTCAAGTCCCAGCAGCTCCACTTCTGATCCAGCACTCTGCTATGGCCTGGGAAACAGTAGAAGATGGCCTTAGACTTTGGGCTCCTGCACCCACATTGGAGACCTGGAAGAAACTCCTGACTCCTTGCTTCAGATTGGCCCAGCTGTAGGCTTGTGGCCACCTGGGGAGTGAACCAGTGGTTGGAAGACCTTTCTCTCTCTCTCTCTCTCTCTCTCTCTCTCTCTCTCTGCCTCTGCCTCTCTGTCACTCTGCCTTTCACATAAATAAATTTTTACATATATATATATGGAAACAAATGAAATTAGAATTCTCAACTTATAATACACTCTTCATTGTACATGTGCTATTTTTCCTTTCTTCTTAACTTCGTCTGCTTCAATGTTCTAGCAATAACTCTGTATTTTACCCCTTTCCTTGGTCATCATGTATTATTACTTTTAAAATTACATAGAATGAGGCTGATGCTGTAGCATAGTAGGTTAAGCCTCTACCTGCAGAGACAGCATCCCATATGGGCACTGGTTCAAGTCTTGGCTGATCCTCTTCTGATCCAGCTCTCTACTATGGCCTGGGAAATCAGTAGAAGATGGCGCAGGTGCTTGGGCCCCTGCACCCACATGGGAGACCCACAAGAAGCTCCTGGCTCCTGGATCTGGTTCAGCCCCACACCAGCCATTGTGGTCATTTGGGGAGTAAATGAGCAGATGGAAGCCCTCTCTGTCTCTCCTTCTCTCTATCCATAACTCTGCCTCTCAGAGAAGTAAATAAGTCTTTAAAAATTATATAGAATTTTTTTCTGTTTTCTGTATGACTTTTGTGCTTCACATATCTTTTGAAAAAATGTGCAATTAAATATAATAAATTTGGTCTAATTTCAACAAGATTAATTAGTTCTATTTTGTTTAGTATCAAAATGCATACATTTTGGATTGGATTCACTGATTCTTTACTTTTGATATGTACTGAAATTATTTTACTGCCACATGCGTGGGTGGGTCACAAATGTTCAGCTCAGTGATAAGTCACAGATTGTGCTCATCTGCAGTCACAACACGTGACAAAGCACAGACTAGAGTTGGCCTCTCTCAACTCCCACAGCCCCATGTTGCCACGTTTTTCTGATCTCTAAGAGCATGGATGATATTTTGTACATTGGGTTGTTTTCTTTTTACTTTATACAAATGATACAATACAGCTTGAACTCTTTTTAAGGCATTTTTCATTTCTGTGTCACCTGGGAATTTGTCAGTAGTGCTGCATGTTGTCGTGGGTTAAACATTAACATTTTTTTTGACTGGCAGAGTGGACAGTAAGAGAGAGAGACAGAGAGAAAGGTCTTCCTTTTGCCGTTGGTTCACCCTCCAATGGCCGCCACAGCCGGCATGCTGTGGCCGGCACACCGCACTGATCCAATGGCAGGAGCCAGGTGCTTCTCCTGGTCTCCCATTCGGTGCAGGGCCCAAGCACTTGGGCCATCCTCCACTGCACTCCCTGGCCACAGCAGAAAACTGCCCTGGAAGAGGGGCAACCGGGACAGAATCCGGCACCCCGACCGGGACTAGAACCCGGTGTGCCGGTGCCACAAGGTGGAGGATCAGCCTAGTGAGCCACGGCGCTGGCTAAGATTAACATTGCTGTAGAGATTCCACTGTGTGAATACCAAACAACAAATTCATCATTGCTGTGTAGATGTCCATGTCAGTAGCTTTCAGGGTGAGGCTAGCAGGATCATTGCTCACATGGAAATGCACCTGTGAATATTTGCTTATGATGGCAAACAATTCAAGTATCTTTTGGATGCATACATATCATTGGAATTCATATACCATAAATTGAAATATGTTACACTTTATTAGAGCCAATAAGAGAATTTCCAAAAATATATATTTTTTCATTTTTTCCCCAAGTATCACACTCACCAGCCATGTGTGAGCTTCTTAGCTTGTCCACGTACTACCAAAAGTTAATTATCCCCAGTGTTCTTCATTTTCTTATTGATGTGTAATGGTTCCAGCGAGTTTTTTTTTTTTTTTTTTGACAGGCAGAGTGGACAGTGAGAGAGACAGAGAGAGAACAGTCTTCTTTTTTCCCATTGGTTCACCCCTCAATGGTCGCTGCGGCAGGCAAGCTGTGCCCTGAGGACCACACTGATCTGAAGCCAGGAGCCAGTGCTTCTCCTGGTCTGCCATGTGGGTGCAGGGCCCAAGCAATTGGGCCATCCTCCACTGCACTCCTGGGCCACAAGAGAGATCTGGACAGGAAGAGGAGCAACTGGGGCAGAATTCGGCATCCTGATTTGGACTAGAACCCAGTGTTTCAGCACCGCAGGTGGAGGATTATCCTGTTGAGCCATGGCACCAGCCCCAGCTAGTGTTTTTAATTGTGTTTCTTGATGACTAAGAAAGTCCAACATCTTTGTGCATGTTCAACTTTTTTCTTGAGGTATATTTTAGGCTGCATTTTCCTTTCAGCTGTCTTGTTCTTACAGATTTGTAGGAGGACTTTCCATGATCTGGATGCAGGGACATTCCTGGATATGTCTCCTCCACCTCCTTTACCGCTCTGTTCTGAACAAGGTTCTCTGTTGATATTCACAGAATCTATGTGTCATTTCCACATGCATCATTTTCTTTTGGTCTCAAGTCTTTTTCTAGGCCAAGACCTCAGAGTTCTCCTCTCAGAGAGGCCATACTCTGACCACTTCTATAAATCCAATTATTCCTGTTTGGAATGGAAATCAGATGCCCTTTCAGATGAAATTTGCTGTGTTGTGGTTAACAGTACACTGTAATATTCCAGTAAGCCAAGGGTCCCAGTTACCTTAGAAAATGTCATGCTATGGTTTGTTTGCTTTTACTCCCATGTCTCACTGCCTCATCCTGGTCAACACATGCTATCTTTGGAGCTGACTTGCCCAAGACCATTTGGAGTTATTCAATCCATCCCTTCCTACCCATTGAAGACTGTATCTGGGACTGGCAATGTTGTTCAGTGGGTTAGGCTTCGAATGGCATCTCATATCCCAGGGCCCAGTTAAGTCTCAGCTGCTCTGCTTCCAATCCAGGTCCTGCTAATGTGCCTGGGAAAGCAGCATATAGTGCTGGGGCTCCTGCTACCAAGGTAGGAGAATAGGATGGAGTTCCTGGTTCCTGGCTTTGGCCTGGTTGTTATAGCTATTTGAGAGTCAAACAGCAAATGAAATACCTCTCTCTGTCTAGATCTCTTTCCCTGGCATTTTGTCTTTCAAATAAATATTTTAAAAATAATTAAAAAGAAGACTGTAGTATCCTACAGTCTCCATGATGCAAGATCCTGGTGTCCAGAATCTTGACTGGGTTTTTTGGCTGAGAGGATCAATTATTCCTGCAGGGTCTGTCCTGTAGGGAGACAGCTTTCTCATACATACCTCATGAG